ACACATTGTACATATATACCATATGTACAATTATGCATCATATACGTGTATATTTAGTTATAAAGTAAAATTGTATCATACAATAATATCTACTTATTATTATACTTACTCTAATAGAGTATACTCTATTATACTCTAAAATAAAACAAATCATGTTTTTAGGATTCTTATAGTCTCCTTTTAGAATTATATAATTGGTCCAGGATGTTCATCAGCCTAAACGACCTGTTAATTAAGGCTAATACTGCAGGTCTATGTACTGTATGCTTGTCACGGCATGGCCTGTAGGGGGCAGAGGTCATAGTGAGACATAAAGGTCTTCTGTGTTTTCTTCATTGACATTTTAGTAGTCTGACATTTGTCATATTATTCCTTGTTTTAAACTACTAAAACTGTCAATAAGTCACAATGTTACAATTTTTAACACCAAAAGTTGTCAGAGCACAGATCAAGTTCCCACAATGCAACTGCAAAGAATAAATACACAATAAACCACTCATGACTAACAGTATACGGGCCATTTTTAATAAAAGGATATTATGATTTATTGTATCTGTATATGATCTTTTTCATTTGTATGGAGTGTCCCTTTATCCTCTGGCATAATTCAGACATAGCAAACGGAGTGTTTAGCGGGTGATTTTGGGGTTAAACCCCACATTATCCCTTCGCCTCACTGTGACTCTATAATACAGTGCACAAACAGGCCGGGCCAAAATCCCTCTTAGAAAGCTTTACTCCGCATAGATTCTTAAATTAGTGGTTTACATGTCTTAATGCTCTGTTCTTTCCATGTCTAAGCACTTCATTCTTGATTCTCTCTTTTTGGCTGATTTTGACCATCTCAGCAAACACTTCTCCGGTAACCAGCTGATGTCTGATCTGCATTTTAAACCAGATTCAGTTTTTAGTTCAAAAGTTCAGAATACTTAAACTACTTGTGAAAGCCGAGTCCCTCAAAATATTTTCATTAAAATTAAGTTCCTTCATTTATTATTCTTTTCGGCTTAGTCCCTTTGTTAAAAGGGGGTCGCCACAGCAGAACGAACCACTAACCTATCCAGCAAATGTTTTAAGCAGCGGATGTCCTTCCAGCTGCAACCCATCACTGGGAAACACCCATATACTCTCATTCACACACATACCCTACGATCAATTTAGCTTACCCAAGTCACCTATAATGCATGTTTGTATTCTTGGGGGGAAACCGGAGCACCTGGAGGAAACCCACGCGAACACAGGAAGAACATGCAAACTCCACAACGAAATGCCAACTGACCCAGCCGAGGCTCGAACCAGCGACCTTCTTGCTGTGAGGCGACAGAGTTACCCACTGCACCACCACCTAAAATTAGGTTAGAATTAATTTTTTTTTTATTTTGCACTAAATAAATACATGAACTCACACAAGTTGCTTGAATAAACATCAATTTAGCCCAGAGCTTCATGGTTAGACTGCTCATTTTTTTACTCTAGTCCTAAATTATCCAGCAATCTAAGTGCATACTATACACTTCCCCTCAATGGTAACTCTACGCTTCATCATAGCAGACACTCTATATACAAATAACACAAAATCAAACACTATGCATCTCTCAGAATACGTAGTACAACGTTGCATTTTGGGTGGAATTGAAAACCGGCTTGATGTCAGAACTCATTGCCAGACTAACATTAGTGTCCATTGATGGACCAATGTAGTATTTTGGTCACATTCCAATGCAACCCTAAAAACAACCAAATATCAACGTCTAATGATGTCACTGCTTGACAGATGTTGCTGACAAATTAAAATCAATAAAACATTGGATTTTGGTCACTTACGGACACAACCCAAAAACAACCAAATATGAGTGCCATTTGACGTCGTTATTGGACGCAAAAGTAATGTTTATTCAATTTTGGTCACCCGACATCACAACCTAATGTAACCTAATATTAATCTCTTATGACATTGTGTGGCTGCTGGTCTTATAAAAATGTATAATTTCAAAAATTATTTTACCAATTTTTACCAAACCCCCATCCTAAATCCAACCATCATTGGGGGATAAGCAAATTGTTCAAATGAGATTATATGAATTAGCCACTTAATAAAAAATGAATTGCTGTGAGATTGTGTTGGATTATTTTGATTTTTGAAAACTCTTTTTCTTTTAAGCATAATGTTTTTTTTTACTTATTTGAGTGAAGCAATCAAATTTAATTTAGTAAAGTTTATTTATAAACTAATTTCGAGAGGATCTTGTGCTTATGATTGCTTGCATCTGGTCAGGCATTATCAAATTTATGATTTACCAATCAGTAGATTCCTAAGTCACTATAAAAACCCTAAGTTCCACATAACAGCCATCTTCATTTTGAAGAATCCCCCCTTCCACCCTTAGTCCTTCTCCTTTTTCTAGATGGGTGGCCCAGTGGTTAGCACTGTTGTCTCACAGCAAGAACTTCACTGGTTATAGTCCTTACCAAGCCAGCCAACGTTTCTATGCAGAGTTTACACATTCTTCCCATGCTCACGTGGGTTTCCCCCCTGTTTCCAGAAACTTTCTCATCAACATTTCCGTGTTTCAGGAAAAGCTTCATCCAATTCTGAGTGTGCTTCACACAGATGAGTGGGCTTGACAAATCACCTGTAGGAAACACTCTCTTTTTCTCTTCATGTGCACCAGACACCTTCTTAAATTATAACCATACTACCCCTTACATCTTAGCATTTATATACTGCTTCTCTCTGATGATTTGAAGTGCTTTAAATAAAAGGGTAGGACTAAATGTATAAATGTAAACAATGGTCGATTTAAAAAAATAATAAAAAATTCTCGCCAGAAACTTTAATACCTAAAAATATAGAAAATACACAGTTAAAGGTGCAGTAGGTGATTGTCTTCAGAAACATTTTTTTGTTGTGCTGGTTGAAAGGCTCTTCCGATTCCAATAGTAATGATTAAAGTAAATTATCTAAATATATTTATATGTGTTTTATATTCTGGTAAGGCATAAGACTAAATAATGTTCATCCAATTAAATATTGTCAGCCCGATAATTTCCATAATTCTGATAAGTAGCCCAAACTGTCTGTCAGCAAATGTAGATTTGTACATCTGCACACCCCTGTTCATGCAAATTCGCAGATGCACATTCACACCAGCCACGGTCAAGTGGATACGAGTGACAGCACTAAAAACAAATGCTAAATTAAAACTTTTAAAATCCTGAATTAATAATGAAGTTACTTTCGCAAACCATGGCTAAAGTATTTCTTTTAGACAGGTAATGTTGTGTTTTAAAACTATTTTAGTCAGGCTAAGCTTATGTTAGATTGTGTTGTGTTATGAATGGATTAAATGCACAGAAGTGTTGTTCAGCCACTGAAATCTTCTGGTGAAAGATTGGTGTGACTATTTTAAGTTTCATAAGGACCTTTTAGAGCATCGATAATGTAGATTTTTATTTAGTTTAACAACAAAACATCAGTAAATAGCAGTATTCTGCCTAGCCTGCTTTACTCAGCTGAAGTTGCTTTTATATTCACATTGGTTCATTTTTGCTCTCTATATTGTTTAAAATGCTACTCTGAATATTCAGTTTATAATAGCATGTAAGAATGGCTTAGTAATGACTATAATTCCTGTATGCCGTCAGCCAACTACTAAGCATACAGTAATGGCTTTAGGACAGCATGCAAGAGAGTGAGACCAGCAATCCTTGCATGCATGAGATATTGCACATTATGACAAGTTTTGCTTGCTACATAACTGAAGATATAATACAGTTTTTAATTCAGAATTGTAGGATTATAAAGTACTATAATGTTTTCTAACTGGTGAATGACATGATCAAGTGCATCTTTGTCATCTTTAATGTGTGCGTTTGAGATTTCAGGAGGTGTGGCTTTGGACGGCAGGAGAGGGATTGTATTTGAAAGATATTATGCAAACGGATAGCATTTAGGCGGATCACCTACTGCACCTTTAATAAGGAAAATGATAGTCATTAATAGATTTAAAATGAGATGTTCAGCTTGTTTTTATACAGTAAGGTTCAATTTTTTTTATGTTTTTGATAGACGTATCTTTATGCTCACCGAGGCTGTCAGTATAAACAGAAGTGATTATATTCTAACATATTTTGGAATTAAATCTATTCTACACTTTAGTGCAACTTGATATTTCAGAATTGTAATATGCAGACTTGCTCATGAAACATTTTTAAAATGATCATTTTCAATGTCCTTTACTTGTCCTGCTTCATATTTGGAAACCGTAATAGATTTTGACACAATTCTTTGATGAATAGAAATTTCAAAAGAACAAAATACATTTGAAATCTTTTGATTAGTCTAATGCCTCATTGCTGATGCATTAATAACTTTTGAAGCATACTGTCATTTCCCCAGCCTCAACTTTAACTCTATTGTGATAGAGAGTTCATGTCATGAGCGCATGAAATTCCTGTATCTTCACCAACATTTGTTTACTTATTTCTTACAAAGCTTGGCATCGCGCAGGAGGTGGTTGCGTAGGGCCCATTTATAATAATCAGCAAAACAGCTTTATTAGCCCTCTGTCAGCTTATCCCTGCGGGAGGTGAGCGCTTGGCGCCAATCTCTGCGTCTCCTCCAGAATCTGTTTTCCAGCAAAATGCTCATATGCCGTCCAATTGTGCGCACACCTATCCCTGTACTAATTCTCCCTGATCCTCTCAGTGTTAAAAAATATAAGTCTGGGAAGTGCAGACGATGCTGTAAGCGGGTGGTGAGCGCAAACTGTCAGATTAACAAGTCTGAGCACATGATCCTCCACAACATAGTCAGGAGGGCAATCACCCGGCGAGACCTGTTATGGAGATTCATTACTATGAAGTGCATGCATAAAAAAAAAAAAAGCAATCAATGGAGATGCGCGTGCACGTTCCGCTTGATTTCAATCAACACTGTCTTTTCTGTGGAAAAGGAAGTTGAGCATTTAGGTGTCTTATTCGTGGTCTTAAAGTACTAACAGAGGATTACTGAGGTAAATGTTGAAAGAGGTTTAGCCACTGTGCTTAGGCAGTGCTCTTAATTACATTTCAGCAGAGTGTCCCGCGTGCAGTTGGGCGAGAGATCATAGTGATGTCAGGTAAGGGGGGGCTTAAGCAGGCAGATAAAGCCTAGCTAATAGAGATAACATGAATCTGTAATTAAAGGTCTTTTTTAGTTAAGACAAGGAGCTGGCACTTGTTGGCCAAGCAGTCTGCGGCAGGACCCAAGACCTGAGCATCCCAGAGAGCGTGGGCTTTCTCGCTGGAGCTTTTGGCTTCTTTTTGGAGTCATTTGGAATGAAGTTATGAAAATTTTCATCCTAACTGAGAGCTTGGACTGATTCCCGCTTCTCTGGCAGACATTCAGAGGTGAGTCTAATATATCATCAGTCTGTCAGTTTGACTTTACTTTACCTTGCTCTCTTCTGATGCATATTTTATAGACTCAACATGTTCATTTTTGATGTGTAACTTTGTGGGTCATACACAATGCATAATTTAATTAGTAAATTGAGCTTTTTTTAACTCTTTTACATGCACTTTTAAATGTTTTGTTTACCTAAAATAGAGATAAAGGTTGACACACATCCTAGTCACTTCCATTCATTCTTGTCCAAGATTTCAATGTCTATCAGTGGAATTATCTTGTGCCCTGAAGGAAGACCAGATAATGAATATGACCTACCCTAACACAATGCTTGATTTAAGTCGTCAGCAGTTTTCCCTTAATTTATTCCTTTAATGAGATTATCCACATGCAAATCCATCCAGTTCAAGCCTGGGACTTGGATATGGCATCACTTATCATACACATGCCAAAAAGTGCACTTGGCTTGGAAATATGCCCAATGTTTGTTTTATAAACAAAGTTTAAGCCTCATATGATATTGTTCTGTATGCAAATCACCAAATGGCTCTGAATGCATGCTCTTAATGATATGAGTAGCAAGGTTAGGATGCCTACGCTGTAATGCCTGCTAGCATACAATGTACAGCTAGAAAGAAATGAAAATAATTGTAGATTTTGTGTCAGAGCTATTATTTTTAATTTTAAGATACTGTCTGAAAAAAAGTTTTTTTTTTTTATGATACAATTGATTTTTTTTGTTGGAATGTAGGTTTATTCATTTAATTTCTGTGGTTAGTAGTTTTTGTTTTTCAAAATATGTCTTTACATGTTTTTATTGCTTTTCTATTTGAATTATTTTAGCACTATTTTATTGAATTTTATATTTATTATATATTTATATCTGTAATATTGTAAATATGTACAAATGTTGTAAAGAATCATATGATTTATATGTCCTGCCAACATGTTTTACTGTAATTTAAAAATTTAAATTTTATTCAATACTTTTAAAAAGAGTTTAAAAAATATCTTTTAGCTCAGTTAAATGAAATGTTAAAATTGAAGTAGAAATTACTTGCATAGTTAATTTAAATCAATTTAAAATTTTAAGAAAACAACTATATGTTCAGTACTCAGCATAACTAAGTACACCCCATTTCAGAAATGAATATCTTCATCCATTTCTTAGTGAATATGGGTCATATATTTTGGATAAAACAGATTTACTAAACAGATACATTTGTTAAAACAATGTTTTAGTCACCAAATGTCATCATAAATAGGAAGATAATACATTTGAATTCTTGAAATATTGAGGAAAAAAAATTACAAACTATCAATACTTTGATAAAAACTTTGAATTAAATAAAACTTTGAATTTACTTCTATTTCTTGAATTTTGCTCTTTGAATTATTTTTATTGACATTTTTTCTCTAACATATAAATTTGGGTGTACTAATTTTGGATCATTATTAGTTATTTTGTTAGATTAGCTCCAGATTTGGCTGTAGTACTGACTAATTTAAAGTATATGCAAAAATATAATACTGTAAAGCTTCCTAATAAAAATATTAAATTCAATTAGAAATTTGTGAGGGGTGTACTCATATGCTGAGCACTGGATATCCCTTGTGGTGTTTAACGGAACAAGAACATTTTTCCACAGTATTTGCTATAATATGTTTCTCTTGTATAAAGTCTAATTTCTTATAGTTTAGCAGAAAAACAGAAGTTTAACCCCAGGTCCAAAAAGGTTAACATTGTTAACCCCTAAAACGAAGCACTACTGTCCAGTCACTTGCCTAATTAACATGATTTGCTTAGTTTACGTAATTAACTTAGTTGATCCTTTAAATTGCACTTTAAGCTTAATACTAGTATCTCACAACTAGTAGGGTATTATTAACTGTTATGCTGGCAAAGCAAATTAATTTGTTTTTAAAACTATTATGTAAAAAATGTGATGAAAACAGCACTTGGGATAAATTTGAAAATAATTAAATATTCACAGGAGAGCTAATTAATAATTTTGCCTCCAACTACATATATATTAGACCAGTGGTTCTCAAACTGTGGTACGTGTACCACTAGTGGTACGCAGGCTTACTTCTAGTGGTACGCGGAGGATTGAAATGTCATGTACATGCTACATATATTTCAAAATTTATAAAAAATAATGTATATAATATGCCATAAATTACATATAGCCTATATTTTTGAGGTAATCTGCCATGTTTTTTTTTTACTGTGCAGAGTTGTAGCTGCTTTACTGGACCTATCACGTGACTGTATTTTAATACTGCTCATTTTGGTGGAACTTGGAGAGAAAAATTTTTTCTGAGGTGGTACTTGATAAAAAAAAGTTTGAGAACCACTGTATTAGACTATTAAAATGATCATAACACTTACAAACAAGGTTATTTTAATACTCACTGAAAGATGATAAAAATCTGCTCAAAATCAAATCGTTCTTCTTGCATATATATAAATAAATATTGATGAACAATATTACTGCTGCTGGAAGGGCATCTGCTACATAAAACATATGCCAAAGTAATTAGAGTTCATACCACTGTGGCGACCCCTGATAAAAGTGAGTGAAGAATATTAAATACACAATAGTATTAAATTGGGAAAAATTATTTACAAACTTATTTATTTACAAATATATCTAAATATGACAAATATGGATAGGCAACATCATTCCTTCATTCCAAAATAAACACCCTCTTGTGTGTATTAGGCAGATTTTAACACTGTTGATGGTTTGTCTGCCTGCACCACATTTACCACATAAACCGATTGTATCCCAGATTTATCTGCAAGGTGTTTTTAGGACATCTCTGGGGCTAATGGAGGCTAATAGGCTTAGCACTTAGGGTGTATTGTCCGGTATGCTTACAAGCAAGGTTTGCTGAGGGTAAAACTCTAAACTCTGGGATTACCTCCAACACATCCCGTTAAAGTGCTGTATAGTCAGGATTTAGCTAATAGGATCTGAGGGGGGAATAGGGGCCCTGAAGGTAGTTTGGGGGTTGGCGGACAGCAGGAGCGCTGCATGCGGGTCAGCAGATGCAGCAGGCAGACTGCTGGACTAACAGGAGGATTACAGCACTCAGATTAGAACGGCTCCTCGTAACTGGTAATACGCACACAGGCCGTCCCATGCGCAACACTGGAGATTTCATCAAGGAGTAAAGATCCGAAGCTTTACATATCTGGGACGTGCGATTATTGCAGGAATGGGAGGATACATGCTCATGCAGTGTTGGAGAGGCAATACATTTAACAGTGCTATATAATTTAATGTGAAAATTATTTTAACTGTAAGAAATTGTGTAATTTGATTGTTAACGGATTATTTTCTGTAAAATTGTAGGATATTTTGAGTAATATTCTTTTGTTACTTTGATGTGTATATTGTCTCCTGACATTTAAAGGCTGTTTAGTAAAGCAATGTTAATCTGATGTTTTGATGCTTTATTTTTTAGCATCAACTATACAAATATGTGCTTTCAGACAGAGTAAAGCTATTAAACTAACTCTTGATATGACTTTACGTCTGTTTAAACTTCCAAGAACAGTCCCAATTTAAAGAGTTGCTAAAGTCTGATGTTGTGATGCATGTGCTTTACAATTAAATTATTCATATCTCAAACTATAATCTTAAAGTCTTCAAGTGATGAAGTATTTCTAAAATTTTAATTTATTAATTAAATAAAGTGATTATTGTAAACATTTTGCAAAAAATTATCATATATAAAATATTGTAATATAATGCAATATAATATAATGTAATATAATATATTGTAATATAATATAATGTCATGTAATATAATATAATGCAATATAATATAACGTAATGTAATATAATTTAATATAATATACTGTAATGTCATGTCATTTAATGTTATGTATTAAAATGTCGTATAATATATTGTTATGTAATATAATACATTGTAATGTAATATAATATAATGTGATATAGTGTAATGTAAAATAGTATTATGTAATATAATATAATGATACATATTACATAAATATTACAACAATTAGAAAACATTTCTCTGTTTTTATCATAACATTGTAACAATATTATAATAGTATATTAATCATACCTGTCATGCTATTTATATGTTGTTCTATTGTTGATTTGATCCTAAAGTCCACATTTTATTTTGATACTTGAAGAGTTCAGATGCAAAAACCTCTAAGTGCCATCTGAAATTTTCTCCTAAAATTGTTCTTAGTCTACTATGTATAAGCTGAGCAATTTCACTTTTATGTCAATTAATATGTTATTTTCATTGCCTTTAATGTGAAATTACTGAACATAAATATAGGAGCCTCAGAAAAATGCTCGTTTTAGAAGATAATTTCAGATGGCACTTAGAAGTTTTTGCATCTAAACTCTTCATATAGTTTTTATAATGTTATATACTTGCTTTTTTAATGCCTCTAAAATCTTCTTATACGGTTGAAGTCAGAATTATTAGGCCCCCTTTGAATTTTTTTTTTATATTTCATATAAATGATGTTTAACAGCAAGGAAATTTTCACAGTATGTCTGATAATATTTTTCCTTCTCGAGAAAGTCTTATTTGTTTGATTTCGGCTAGAATGAAAGCAGTTTTGATTTTTTTAATCACCATTTTAAGGAAAAAATTATTAGCCCCTTCAAGTAATATTTTGTTTCGATAGTCTAAAGAACAAACCACCATTATACAATAACTTGTTTAATTACCCTAACCTGCCTAGTAAACCTAATTAACCTAGTTAAGCCTTTAAATGTCACTTTAAGCTGTATAGAAGTGTCTTGAAAAATATCTACTCAAATATTGTTTACTGTCATCATGGCAGGTGTTATTGTTGTTAATGTTATTAGAGATGAGTTATTAAAACTATTATGTTTAGAAATGTGTTTAAAAAATCTTTTCTCCGTTAAACAGACATTAGGGAAAAAATAAACAGGGCGTCCAATAATTCAGAGGGGCTAATAATTCTGACTTCAACTGTATATCACAGGAAATAACTGGAAAAAACCTAAACTAATCAATTCCCAACGTCAAGCTTATCTTAACTGGATATTTTCAACTAGGTTCAAAGATGCTGACAAACTAATAACAGCCTGTCTTTTTCTTTCAGTATTTGGATTCTCAATCTCAGACTACTAGGAGTCACGTTACAGTAATATCTGACGACTGAGAAAAGATAAAGTACAGGAAAAGAAACGAACAGGTACATCTTCATTACACCCTGATTCTTTGTAACTTTGACGTTAGAGCTCATCCTTGGAATATTTTCACCTTAGTTGCATAAATGTGTGTCGTTCGTTAATGACAAAAAACTGTCAAGAAAAAAACCTATGCATGATCCAAAGGAATCGGTTGGGTCTTCTGTTAGTAATACAATGTTTATTTTTCTCTCTGGTATTTCAGTAATGTCTATGTGCATAATGCATCATGTTTCAGTCAGTTTGTCAGTCTGTGCATTACTGGTGTGGATTTTTTGTTGTTGCTTTTTATATGGTTGTATCAGGTAGTTTGTGACCAATGATCATAGGGATTGAATCACTGACTCGTCCATTTGACCGATTCTTTGATTCATTCTCGAGTTACACGTATATTCCTTGTAAAACAGGCATATTTGTTCACTTAATGTGTTTGAGTTTCATTTACTGACAGATTTTGTTATAATGCTTGTTATCACTGATAAATATATGTTTGTTTGTTTTTTGTATTTTCTTTATCACACTGACCCTGGTTTAATTATAGTAAATGTGTAGTAACTTTTTATAGTAACTTGTTAATTTGTTATTTTAACCAGTGTTTTCCTACAAATACAGTGTTTAAATAAACAATGGTTATATTAGTAAAAGATTAATTTGTGGTTAATGGTTCATTTTCATAAGAGACTGATTTGTAGTGCAAAAGGATTTACAGGTTATTTTACTTTAAATCTGAGGTCTCGATTGAAGTAATTGGATTAGAAACTACTGCATTTTGTTGTATGACAATTAAAGCTGTATGATTGGTGTAAAATAAAAGTGTGGGGCATTACAAAGTTAAAAATGAAAAAGAAAATTCTGTCATCAATAAGTCATCCTTCACTTGTTCAAAACCTGTTTGAGTTTCTTTCTAAAATGAAGATATACTGAAGAATGCTGGCAAAAACAAACATTGACCTCCCTAATATTTTTAGTTCCTACTTTACTATTATAATGTAAGTCATTAGCTGTTTTTTGTCAACATTCTACAGAATATCTTATTTTGAGTTCAACAGAAGAAATTCAATAAAGTTTACAACTATTGAGTGTAAGTAAATGATGAAGTAATGTTTAATTTTTGGGTAAACTATTGCTTTAAAGAATGAGTTTTGAATACTTAAAGTGACAGTCTACCAAAATAAATCAAATAAAAATACAACTCTGTCATAATTAGCTCAGCCTCATCATCACGTGCCAAATCTGTTCCTTGGGCTGAACACAAAAGATGATATTTTTGAATGATGATAATTGTATTTTTGTCTGCTGTGTTTTTAATGTGTTCATGTGTATGTTTGTTGCAGTGTCAGTGTCATGACCCCACGTGAGCAGCTCAGGAAGATCACAGCACTGGGCGAGCAGGGTGCCCTTGATGAGAAGCACTGGTACAGACTGGTCAACGGCATGTCTGCTGGAGGTGAGAGCTCATCACAGATGCAGCACAGTCCATTAAACACTTTAACCACAGCTGAAGAAATGAAAAACAGAGCTGCTTCTATTACTGACACCTTCACGTCTTCTCCTGTGGGTGAAGCAGAGTTGCGACAGAGGCAGGAGCTCATGATGAGGAACCAGATGGCCATGGCTCCACAGATCCTGGCTCAGGGGCAGCAGAGACTGCAGGGTGTGCCCGCACAGTTCGATCCCCGCTTCATGGAAAGGTCTGTTAAACTTAGCTCCAAATGAGCCAAGATATAAAAATCAGAATGTAATACCCCAAATGTTTTTTAAACTAATCCAGGGCCATTATTATTCTGTTGCATTGTTTCATTAAAAAAGCAGTATTTGTTTTTAATATTATTAATCATGACATGCACTGCACGGTGAGGCAGTGGGTAGCACATACGCCTCACAGCAAGAAGGTCGCTGGTTTGAGCCTCGGCTGGGTCAGTTGGCCATTCTGTGTGGAGTTTGCATGTTCTTCCCGTGTTCGCGTGGGTGTTCTCCGGGTGCTCCGGTTTCCCCCACAAGTTCAAAGACATGCTCTAGGTTAATTGGGTAAGCTAAATTGTCCATAGTGTATGTGTGTGTCAATACAAGAGTGTTTGTGTGTTTCCCAGTGATGGGTTGCATCTGGAAGGGTATCCACTGTGTGAAACATGCAGGATAAGTTGACGTTTCATTCAGGCTGTGGCAACCCCAGATTAATAAAGGGACCAAGCTGAATAGAAAATGAATGAATGAAATGAAGTAAGAAAACAAACAATCAGGAAGAATCATTAAAAGTAGTAGTTGTTCAATTCCTTTCAAAAACACAGATCCCAAAAACACTGTCAACTGGAGTTGCAATACAGGCTCATTGTGAAAATGTACCCCTATACATTTCTGTAGAGCGTGAATTATGTACTCAGAGTTACGTATGGCTGCATTTTGTTTTTAAAATGAACGCTACAAGGTGGTATGATGCCGCAGACGTTTTCGCCACTGTTTCGTTTTTGCGCTACCAGCTGACTGCTTACCTCTGTATGAACGGCTTTTCTGCTGTTGCCAGTTTGCTGAGTAGCTTTGCCCAGTAGAACCTGAGACACAAAGAGTAGTTGACCGTGACCAGGGGTGCTGCTAGGGGAGTCTTGAGAACGATTCTAAGGGCCTACGCTATTTTGGGGCCTCCAGAGAAACTTTTAGGGCCCATCCGATGCTACCCTCAATTGTCATAAGGCCCGGCGTCCCTAACCGGAACAACAGAGTTTGAGTCTGGCGAGGTTCCAGAAACAAAAGGCCAAAAAATAAAATAAACAAGTGAATAACAGGGTGAAAACGTGGTTAGACCTGAAAATGTGATAAAAATAGGCGGCCATGAAGGCTTTTTTCTGGATTGCTTTTGAAAACATCGGATTAGGGAAGTGGGTTGGTGGGGTTATTGGTAGGTAGGTCGGTCAGTTAGTTACTCAACAGCGGCCTCTGATGGATTTACAAGAGAACAGCAGGCGCGAATGGCACTCACGAGAGAAATTTGAGATCTGAAAAAGCATACACAGCGGCCTCTGGTAGATTCGTGAAAACAAAAACTGCAAAAAACATAGCTACCGAGACGTATTATGCACTGTCCAGAAAAGTATCAATAATGAGCCTGGATTGTAAGTTGCGCAAGTCGCTTTATGAACACATTTTATATATTGTTATTCAGCATATTGTTATTTACACAAACTACTATAATTTTACACACATTTTTAATAGATCTCACTGTTTATTTCTCTTGTTTATATTTATGTTTGTTCCTATTTTGCCAATTTTTGTGAGCTTCGACAAGCTTTTTAATTGTTTTTAAATAGGGTCAGTAAAGATCTATTTTGTGGTACTTTACTAATAAATGAATGTTTTTGATTTTCAGGGAACTGGTGCCGCCCGCTGACATGGTATCAGCTGATGCTAGACAGATCCACATGGGTGCCCACCTCGGCCAACAACTGCCCCCAAACTCTAACGTTATTCCAGGCAGAGGATATCCTGGCACAGGTTATTACTAAATTACATACAGGCTCATAACAGAAAAGACTTGCTGAGGAACAACCATCTAACTGTAGATTATTTATTCATTTTTAGGTTACAACTTTCTTCAAACTGAAAGCATGGAGACAGTTGCCAGGCGACAGGAGTTAATTCACAAACAGAACATAGCCAGGTACATTTCAGTCTATCTGTTTCCAACACAGATTCATAGTTTGCTTTTAATAGCAAGAAATAAGTCAATTTTATTTTTAGGATGGAGATGAATGCTATCCTGCACCAAAAAGAATTGGAAAATGCCCACCAAAAGGGTCTTATTAGTATTGAGAATCCCATGATGTACCAGGGCATCCAACCCAATCCAATGGCATTCAGGGGCCGTCAGAGACTCCCAGATGGTCACGATGTGTTCGTCCACCGCACTGCTCTCGAAGACCTGCACGCCAACAGCCTCCTCATGTCAAGCCCTTACCCACCCATCAGCACACTGCAAAGGGAGCGAGGGCGGAGGACAGGCCGAAGGACCACCAATCACAAGAGTTCAGACAGCAACATCACTCTCCCTAAGGGCCAATCAGAAGAGAAGAACATTGAGCAGAGTCCAGGAGCAGCTTCGGGGGAGGAGAAAGAAGCAGAAGGAAAAGGAAGTGACGCCACCAGCAGCAAACCACACCAAACCAAAGCCGAAACAGAGCTGTCTTCTGGCGGCAGTAGGAAAGGTTTTAAGGAGGGAGAGCCTGGGATTCGCAAGGCGTGCATTAGTGGACAGGAGGGATGTGCAGAAGTCAGCAACTGCAATGCAAGCACCAGTGATAAAGACATGTCCAACCCGTGCTCAGCTTTCCAGGACAAGTTTCTGTACCCGTCTACCTCTGGTCCACTCACAGGAATGCCCTATATGCTCCCTGTGCCAGGAAATGGACTTTTGCCACTCGGTGTGTTTGTTAGTTTCACTCTGGGGTAGTTTTTAGTGTTATTTTACTATTATTCGTATATTATTCTGCCCTCCAAAAGCAAAGTGCAGTATTTATGTAGACACTAAAAATGCCTGTAATGTTTTTGGACCAGCTTGCATTTTGTTTTGACAATAATTATGACATTAAATTGAACCAGGAGTCTTTGTCACAAGGCATTACAGATGTTTTAGGTTTTACTCAGTTTTGAGAAAATGTGCAGTTACAGCACTTTGCCTTTGCAGGGCATATTTTGTGATACCTCCATGGAAAACAAAATAGGAGGTCTATTGAAAATTCTCAGTTTCTCTGAAATTGCTGAGTTCATTGGGTATGGGCAGGGGCAGAATTAGTGAGGGCAATAAGGCCCGAAAGTTCTAAAATGCACCTTTTGAACGATTTATTTTTAATTGATTTATTTTGCTGTTTTTATTCTTATATCACTCAATCTTCTTTTCTACATTTTGTCTTAATGCAAAATAATAACAACATGTAAAGCATCTGTAAAACTTTTTAAATGATTAGTTATTTTAAAATTCACAACAAAAAAGATGTATAAACTATTTTGTTTTTAAAACTAAATCTTTACCCAATTTGACTGCTCCATGATTGAGGGTGGGGGACACATTTGCGATGTGATGAACATTTAACTTATATTTTTAGACCCTTGCCATACAAAATATGATAGAAAATGATGTTATATATAATTTATAGGTATAATTTATACTTCTAGGTATTTATTTGGGGTGGCTGCTTACCTTGGGAGGTAATAAGCAAGATAAGCGGCCGCTTACCTTGCTTATTGGTTAAATCCTCCCCTGGGTATAGGTTTGAATAAAATGTTAATATTTGTTTCCTTCTATAAAAGTCTGACAATATTTCTTCAAAATTCAAATATAAATATTGTCATTTAGAGCTTTTTTAATACAAACTGTCAGAAAAACAACGGTTTCCATTTGTTGTGACTTAAAATCATGGTTATTTCAGCAAATAAAAGACTTTTATATTGTGTCTAAAATGAAATGTTAGAAATGTTATATGTAGTTTACATTATTGCTGAAAATATACTGTAAGTTGTGAACTCAGAGAAACTGAGAATGTTTTATACAATTGAAGTCAAAATTATTAGTCCTCCTGTAATTTTTTCCTTTTCCTTTTGTTAAATAATTCCCAAATGATGCTTAACAGAGCAAGGAATTTTTCACAGTATTTCCTAAAATATATTTTCTTCTGGAGAAAGTCTTATTTGTTTTATTTTGGCCAGAATAAAAGCAGTTTTTAAATTCTTTAAAACTATTTTAAGGTCAATATTATTAGCCGCTTAAGAAATATTTTTTTAATTGTCTACAGAACAAAGCACTGCTACACAACGACTTGCCTAATTACACTAACTTGCCTAATTGACCTAGTTACTCTTTTAAATTGTGCATTAAGCTGAATACTAGCATCAAAGATATATAAATAAATCAGGTATTAGAAATTTGTTATTAAACTACTGTCTAAAAATTTGTAAATAAAAATATCTTCGTTAAACAGAAATATACAGGGGGCTAAAAATTCAGGAGAGCTAAAACAGTATTCATTTGTGAGTGCATAACTGGCTGTGTAAAATAGACAAACAGTTTAATAAACAGTTTAATACTGAAATATCAATCAGTATATGTATAATAAATTTGTAGCTACTTGATATATATATATATATCAAGTAGCTACAAATTTAGAGTATAGGTCTCAAACTCGATTCCTGGAGGACCGCAGCTCTGCATAGTTTTGATCCAACCCTAATGAAACACAGCTGATCCAACTAATCAAGGTGTTCAAGACTACTAGAGACTGTTAGGCAGATTTGAGTTGGAGGTTGTTGAAGCTAAACTACACAGAGCTGCGGCCCTCCAGGAATTGAGTTTGATTTAAAGCTTTCATTCAACTTTATTTTATACATGTTCAGTATAGTCAATTAAATTAATTTGTACTTATTTTAAGAAATCTTACAATTATTACAGTATAATATGTGCTATCTATTGATTTTTGGTTTTGTTTTGTTATCAACTAGGACCCCCTAATATGTTTCTCAATGGAGAAGAGATGTCTTCATCAGAAGATATCCGCAAGTGGACAGTTGACGACGTCTACAGCTTTATCAGTGAAATCCCAAGCTGTGCCGAATATGCACAGGTAACACAAATCTAAAATGACAGCATGAAATTATAACCCCAACGTTTTTTTTCGGTCTTTCTCATTATTTTTGTGTCATCCATGGCAGACATTCAAAGAGCACATGATTGATGGAGAGACATTGCCTCTTCTTACAGAGGATCATCTTCTGGACACACTTGGGCTAAAGCTCGGACCTGCGCTCAAGATACGCTCACAGGTATTCACAATGTTTCCAAACTCATTTTTCTATGAATAAATTCTGCTTGTCAGTTACTGTTTCCAAGTCTCTACACATGTGATCAGAGAAATCTCTCCCGATAGCTTTCAATGAGATTTGTTTAGTCATATCACACATTAAAGTGAATCTTTTTCAAAATCACAGTGCACACTACTGTACATCCCAAACACCATTCATTTAACAATTCAGGAAAATGAACTGGTGTCTTGCCATCTGAGATTTAGCATTGGATATTGATATTACTGTCATAGGTGCGTCCCAAATCCGTATTTATGCACTAATCTAAGCCATTTTGTAGTATAAACAGTTTAAGTAGTGTGTTCACACTGAAAACTCTAAAAATAATAAGTGAACTTTAATTACCCGGATGACAGACTTATTCAGCTGTTAAAAAGAAGTGTGTAATGTTGGACACTTCACATACTCAACGGCTGCTGCTTTTTTCATGTTGTGGAAGGGGTGGAGCTATGGGGCGCTCATGTTGGATTATTTTATTTGTTTTGTAGTGTAATAGCAAAATTCTCCTATGAGAGTGATTATAGCGTCTCCTGATGGTAAATGTGTTTATACTCATGGCAGGTATTATTTGGTAGTTTGGTCATTTATTTCACAAATTTGGAAACCGTTTGCGCTTAGTACAAAAATGTGTTCCATATGGGACTACATTACATATACTACATACACTACATACTATGCTGTTGAGTGTGTAAATGCATAAGTGCATAGTGTATAGTGTACCATTTGGGACAGAGCTCATGATTTTCAATAGTATTACAGTCTTATTTTATAATAGTATTTGCGGGCGGCACGGTAGCTCAGTGGTTAGCACTGTCGCCTCACTGCAAGAAGGTTGCTGGTTTGAGTCCCAGATGTGCCAGAAGGTGTTTCTGTGTGGAGTTTGCTTGTTCTCCATGTGTTCCCATGGGTTTCCACAATCCAAAGGTGAATTGGATAAACTAAATTGGCTGTAGCGTGTGTGAATGAGTGTGTTTGATAGTTTCCTAGTACTGGGTTGTGGCTGGAAGAGCATGCACTGCGTAAAACAGATGCTGGATAAGTTGAATTCCTCTGCGGCGACCTCTGAAATAGAGACTAAGCCGAAGGAAAATGAATGAATAGTAGTATTTGCTATACACTTTTACCAGCTGCATTTGGACCTAGATATTGACATCAGACATGTGGATGCTTGACATTAGACCATTGTGGTGTCCTTGAATTCTGTGTACCGCTCGCCCTTTGGGTCAAAACAGACCCATCTTCACAAAACCTCTACAATAAAGCAGATCAATTTTCAATTCCTAAAACTATATTGCATAAAGAAGCAACCTCATCTTCATCACAAACTAAAATGAAGGGAATATATTCTCATGATAAATGTACCAGTGTAAAATGTTTTTAGCAAGATGGTATTGGTTCAGTTTAAAGCAGAGGATTCTTATTGTGTGTGTGTGTGTGTGTGTGTGTGTGTGTGTGTGTGTGTGTGTGTGTGTGTGTGTGTGTGTGTGTGTGTGTGTGTGTGTGTGTGTGTGTGTGTGTGTGTGTGTGTGTGTGTGTGTTTGTGTGTGTGTTTGTGTGTGTGTGTCTGTGTCTGTGTCTGTGTCTGTGTTTTGTGGTGTAAAGAAATTTACCTGAAGAAGAACCATTGTACCCCAATTGTGTTCAGGCTTCATGAAAATAGAAAATGACTTTTTTTTCTAAATTTAGGGAAATTTTAGTAAAAGTCACAAAATCTTGAGATAAAAAAAACATTGTTTATGATTTTTTTTTCTAATTTTGAGATGAAAAAACATTGTTTAAATGCTATTAAAATGACGCCTTCATAATTTTTGACCCGTAAGCCAACAGGGGGGTTAACTAAAATATATAAAGAATCAGTTCAAATTAAATAAAATTAGATTGAAATTTAATGAAATAGGATCAGTTAACATGAAATGAAAGGGAACAATTCACAAAAACTAAAAAGTCTGCCATCATTTACAAACCCTTCACTTGTCAAAAACTTGTTTGACTTTCTTTCTTCTGTAAGCTGAAAACCAGCCACCAGTGACTTCCATAGGATTTGATTTGAGTTCTATGGAAGTCAATGGATACAGCTTTCTTCAAAACATCATCTTTGCTGTTAAACAGAAGAATGAAATTAATAATGGTTTGGAAACACTTGAAAGTGAGAAAATTGTTATTTATTTGCATTTTTGGTGTACCATACATTTAAGTAAAAAATCCAATAAAATGAACACACATATCTACATTGCTCAGCCTAATTGAGTACACCCTATTTTAAAAAGGAATATTTTATCCATTTCCCAGTGAATATGGGTAATATATATTGGTGCATTTGAAAAAAAAAACAGATTTATTAAAGAGATGAATTTATTAAAATAATATAGTAGTCACAGAACATCTTTATAAATGGAAAGATAATACAATATTTTTTTTCAAGAAAACTTACAAAGTAAAACATTTCAATAAAAGTTGTACATATTTTTTGTTTCTATTGATTTCTGCTATTTAAAAAAAATATATTTAATATTTTCCCTAACATATACATTTTTGATACATTTTGTTAGATAAGCTTTAGATTTTGCTTCAGTGCGGACTAAAGTAATGTATATGCACAAGGATAATATTGTAACGCAACCTATAAAATGAGTGATTTGTGGGGGGTGTACTCATACATGGTTCTAATCTCCAAATAGCCTCTTTAAAAAGCTTGAAGATGATTGAAGAATAACCTTAAACTCTTCTACTGTGTTTTCAGCTGTCCCGGCGGCTGGGTAACATGTTCTACAACATGATGAATTTGCCACTGCCCGTTTCTGGCCTTCAGCCTCCACCAGAGAAGAGTGTGGACCGATCGTCAGACATCAGCTCTCCGCTCAACTGCAACAGTGTGGAGATGCTCAGCAGCCCCAGAGACACTGACGCTCTTAAAGCTGCAGAGCCTGTGAGTGAAGCTGACAACCCCTCGCCAAGCCAGATGAGTGAGACCACCTAAACTACTGGACAAATACCTCAAGATCATCTGCTGTCCCCTACTGCACTACTAACATGCTGGATTATATGTATAATATATATTTTTAAATGTCCATCACAAATGTAACGTTATGCAATAGGGGCTCTAAAAAGTTGATAGACTGTTAAATGCTGGATTTTTCTACATATGTATATTTTGTAATAAGTTAGTCAGCAATTACAAATCAGTTTTTGTCCTTGTCATTATAGCCTTTTATATTGTAAAAAAAAGGGTTTTTACTTGAATTATTATCTAATGTCATGTGTGCTATGAAGGAAATAAACATTTTACTCATTGTTTTTTGTTTGGCCGCAGACCGAGTACCTTAGTATCCCACCACCAGTGACGATATACTATACAGTCATATTGCACTGCTACGAGTATGATATTGCGTTTTGACAACAGTTCGACGGCATAATTGTGTATATAAAAAAGAAAATCAAACACGAGAGTCTAAAAACCCGTTTGTAAGAGGAACTACTTTCTTCCGCCATTCATTCACATCTGTAGCTGACGTCAGAACAGTAGATACAATTGCTACTTCACCAATGTCACTTTAGAGCTAGTATTCGAATGATTCTCTAGCGTAATGTCTAAAGTGATGACAAAAGTGATTTTGCTCCCATTTTAAAATTATACGGCTGAACGACATGAAATGCCATCAGTCTACAGAGATTTCCCAGTATTTCACTGTTGCAATCAGGAAATCACAATAATTATCCCCAATGCAGTGAAACACTATCAGATTACTGTTGTGTCTGCAATAAGGAAAAACGCTAAACACATGCGTGCGTTTCTTCATTCTTTCTTTTTACTGAACTAGTCTGCAGTAATGAAAACAGGAGATGCATTAGAAACAAACAAACGGCCAACCAAAAAGTAACTCAGGGTTAAACAAAGGCTACGTTCACACTGCAGGCAAATGGAGAGGGGTCTGGATGCAGATCTGGTGCAGTGCAATCTAAGCTGCATCCAATGCTTTTTAATGCACTCACCTAACCTTGCTTGCCACAGTGACATCACTCACTCCATTGAGTCTGACATAAGTGATGCAATCTCAGCTGCTTGCGTCATAAAGGCTGCATCCAGATACTATTGGGCAAATGTGGGCCGAATCTGATTTTTTACTTCAGATTTGTGCCACTTTCATATGTAGGCTTAAATCAGACACAGATCGGATGTTTTGCAATGTGACCGCAGTGTGAATGGTCTTGTCGGATTTCATGTGACTTTTAAATAATCTTCGAGCGACATGCGTCAACATTCTGTGCGGCAAACTTCATCTACTCCTCAGCAGCATTGTATTGCATTGCGATTACTTTACCACAGAAAGTTGGTTGTTCATTTTGAAAAAAATTTTGAAGGCAAAACTGGTGCTTGTTAACAGTTAACTAATCTTGTGAATGATTAAGGCACGGGTTGATCGCGAAACCGAAGAGCGTTGTGGATAGGGGATTTGTGTGCAAGGAAGGGGGAACTTTCTCTCCGAAAGAAAAAAAGGGCATGTGCTGGAGCACCTAAATCCCCCTTCTGCATGTGTCTGTTGTTTATAACGAAGAAAATTAAATAACTCTGCAAACAGAGATAAACCAACTCTGCCTTCACAGTTCAGTCTGCGGCTGCTCATCAACCCTTGATGAGTTCACTACACCGGTGGTCAGAGCGCCATACACCACGGTTGTCATACAGTTAATCACAAATGATCAGTCTTTTCAATCACAGGAAACTTATTTTAGGTCTCAAATGCCAAAATACACATTATTAGAAGCAGAACAAGTCCTTCACAGTTCATAAAACACACCACAGTTGTCTGTGAAAAGGGTAATAATCATATAAGCATGATCTGACATCGTGCTTCATACAGTATACACATTGTGTGCATAATTAGACATTTTGTGCTCTCCGTAATGTACTTTTGCGCATACGGGTCAGTTTAGGACCATGATCTGTTACAGCCATGATCATGTGAACAGCCAAGCCAAAAAAATCAGATCTGAGAAAAAATCAGATTTGAGCACTAAGCCTCGCAGTGTAATCGAAGCCTGGCCAACACAAAATACATACATTCCTAATATGAGATGAGAGTCACATCTCACGCTCAATACACTACAATTACTATAAATACAGCACTACAACATACAAGAGAGAGAGATCAACTTAGAAAGTCACTCACCAGTTTAATAATGATTTGATCAGCTGTAGTTAGAAATAACGCTGATTTTTTCCTCCTCTAAGGGCTTATTATGTCGTCTCTGTCGCCATCTTGTGGATAGATACTGTCAACCATCGTTGCTCTGCTCAATGACAGGTTAATGGCCACTGACGCTCCTCTGTCCCTCAGAAATTATAAATATTTTAAAATAAGCACTATCCTTATAAATAAAATACCTATTTGCAATCTAAACAACTACATTCTCAACTAAAAAAGCCTCAAAAGTACAAGGACAAGTGGACAGGACAAGCGCTGTCAATTGCAGAATATTGCACGGCTATGAACTATCAGATTTGAGAACCAGACAAAAACTCTTCATATATATATATATATATGTGTGCCTTCTGAAATTTCCATCACAAATGAAAATTTTTCTCTGCCTCCTTTGTTTATGTTAAGATATTTCACTTTAAAGACCAGGAAAAGGACTGGACATTACTGAACATACATACAGGATCCTGATGCTCATTTAAGAGGAGAATTTCAGATCACATTTAGAGGTTTATATATATATATATATATATATATATATATATATATATATATATATATATATATATATATATATATATATATATATATATATATATATATAAGCAAACGAAAAAACAAGATTAATAATACATAGAGGAAATAAAAATATTACTCAATTGTTTTTTGTTTGGTTTCATTAATTTTAAAAATATTTATAGCCTACAATATTTTACACCCTAAATTGCAACAACAAAAAGAAAAGAACATGAAAAGACATGATTAACATTCTGAATCTACTTAGATTACCTGAATTGTGTCTTTAACCTTTATTCCGTTATATCTCCTATATTTTGTGTGCCTCACCTGCTCTTCAGATGGCAGTATTCATTCACTCACTTCATCCGCGAAGAAAGAAGTGAATATCGCGAGAGTTCCCTCTTCACTCTGTTCGTGACCACGTCAAGGGAACCCAGAAGTTAGAAATCATGGCGGAGCGCAGGCGACACAAGAAGCGAATTCAGGTACCAGATTCAGATAAAATATGCTATCAAAAGCTTAATGTTTGGTCCCCGTTTGACATTGAAAGATTTTTCGAGCTAGTAATTGTTCGGCACGACATTACGGTTGTACTTTGATCCGTTATTTTTGCACTGCTCTCTCATATAGGGGAGGTGGATTATTTATCAGTGCTGGCGCATTTCCCCCCCCCCCCCGCTTCGCTTCGGCATTGCATTGTCAGGAGTTTAAACATCTATAAACTGTCTCTGTGGGTGTAATGTGAGCATGACCTGGTTTTGTTGTGTCTCCCGGTGAAGTGTGTGTGTGTGTGTGGCGGCTCAGCTGATGGAGTTGGCCATCTTGGCTCAGTACAGACTGTTCGCTTTGCAGACTGTTCCCTTTAACCAGCTGTTGTCTCTTATGCTTCACGGATTCCTGCAAATAGCGCACATAATCCATCACTTATCAATGATTGCACAAATGCCACATTTAAATCGCTTTGCTTTTATAGTTAGGGACCTTTCACCACCAAAATAAAAAGTCATTATTTACTCATGCATGTTGCTTCATTCTATTAAGATAAAGTTTTCGATTGGCAGAATGCCACAGTCACCATATACTTTAATTGTATAAATACACTGCAATATAAGAACTGTGTTTTCAGTCAGAAAAGCTTGTAAATTTCAAACAATTGAATTATTACTGCCAGATTATTTGCAGGTGGTGTATTATCCATTTAAAGCCATTCTTCATTTTGTGTAGCATCTTTAAATTGAAGTAAAGCTGGTGTTATATTCGCACATTCTGACTTTCTCCCTAATTATATGTTTTCAGAAGATTATTATTTGCAAATTCTAAGGAATTAAATCATATTAGCCACCAATGACAAATAAATAGTACTAATGTTGTTTTGAAGTTATACTTTCATGTGATTTCAGACCGAATATTTAAAGTACCATGCTAAACAATATAGGGAGCATGTCACAAGCAGGCATGGGACGTTAACCGTTTTCAAGGTATACCACGGTTTAGCAAAAGTCAAGGTTTTCAAACTGGCCAAATTTTCTGTTATATCATTTCTACAGGATATGCAAGCAAAAGGTTTTTTTTTTTTTTTTAAAGAACAACAGTATCTCTAGTAGGGTTCTGTCAATAGACGATGCCATTGTCAAACGCTGATAGACATTCAGTGTTGTTGGACCCCAATCCCTGTGTTGAATGCCTGCTTAAAAGTGCTTTTCATAGTCTATAGTCTTGAGATTTTAACAAGATTTATCATATTAGTAACATTATTATCGGTAACTACAAGTTGAAGATGCGCATAGTTAAAATATTTGAAACGTTTGAAAACATTAAATGATGTCTTTTTGATGTTTTTATGTATTTATATGTAACATTCTATATTTACATAAGAAGTAGCAGCATGTTGTAGGCTGTTGTAGTATCTAAAACAAAAGCACAAAAGAGAAATTCTCCATGTTTTATGTCATTATAGCACTCTTAAATTGCATGCATTTAAACAAAATGTTGCTGCATTTATATATATATATATATATATATATATATATATATATATATATATATATATATATATATATATTAGGGGTGTAACGATATTAAAACCGAACCGAAATATCGCGATACACCAACCACAATACGTATCGCGAAACTCTCGTGGTGTACCGCGGTACTCTCACGCCCCCTGCTGCCCATTGTTGAGGTTGACGTCACTTGTCTCTAACTAATTGAACCAATTTAAACACATCTTTATTATCATATTTGATTAAATTGTTTTAGTAATGATGAGGATTTGTTCTAAATATTATATTCTAAAGTTAGTATTTTAGTGCATGTCATGTCATGTGACTTGAGTAAGCATCACACTCGTTACTACTGGACGCAGGATGGCTGCTTCACATAGTACTGAGATTGCAGATCCCCCAGACACATTTAAGTCATCTGTGTGGAAACATTTTGGTTTTCCAGTTGAGTACAGGAATAGAATTTGTGTCGTAGACAAAGCGCACGCCTGTCTGTCTCAACTGTTTCACGAAACTTACTTGTAAGGAAAAACATTTAAAAAGTGGGGTAATTTCACAATGTGAGGGTGTAAGCAACAGAACTGCCAACAAAAGTGATTTAATGTACAAAAGTAAAACCAGAATAATGCCCAAATATACAAAAAAAAGAGAAATATTTACACTAATAAAAATATTACAATAAAGTAACAAATTCAAACAAAAGTATCAAACAAAAATTAGTTAAACTCGAGCAAGGGGGTGATAGTGAAGACAAACAAAAGAAATAAATATAATAAAACAATTCTAACTCATGAATAACCCCTCTTACCTCGCTAAAACTGATGAAAAGAAATAAAAGGTCTTCAGCGCCGTGCGCCGCATTCTTCCCTATACTGAATAAAATAAACAAAGATGACCTTCACCTCTTACCTGATGTCTTTGACAATACATTTTCTACGTGTTTGCAAAATGGAAATCGTATGACATTTTCCTTATCCACCTTACACTAAGACTGAACTTGAGGAGATACAGCTATATTGTCGGGAAGGAGCGGAGCTAAAAAATAATATACAAATCAATTGAAATAAAAATGTACAAACCTCACAAAATTTCTTAAAGTGGGCAAAAGTAATGCAAAATAATTTTACCCAAACGAAAGTTAAGCAAAAACAACGAAAATCATAATCATGTCAGAAAAATACACGAAAAATGAGATCAAAGGAAAAAGCGCTCTCTCTCCCGCTCTTCCTGACATGCTTTTTACATTCCCGCGCTGCATCGCCAAATGATGATAGATCGGTCTCCTGACCAATCAGCTGTCAAAACGGCGGACCTACAGAAATGACAGGCATAGAGGGAGCGGGAGAGAGAGAGAGAGATCGGGAGGCAAACATACAGCCGGCTACAACCCTAACATTAGTTTCAGACACAACCGCAATGTATTTTACTGGTGAATATGTCATGAAAAAACACTTTACAAACACATTATATGTATATTTTTCGTTAATTTAAACGGAAACCTATCTATCTAAATGAAACCATATAATCAAAAATGAGCGTCTGTGTCTGCACAGAGATCAAGCCTCTCATCGGAGAATGTGGATATTATGGTGTTTTTGAAGAAGATCTTTCACTAGTCTACACTGCAGTTATTTATTTAATTTTAGTTTACTTAGTTAAGATGGCTGCACTAAAGAGAATATTTTTTTTTCTGACTAGTCTATATTGGAGGTATTTATTTAATTCTAGTTGTTTACTCGGGTATCCTGACTGTACTAAAAATGCGATGACAAAGTTAATAAAGAAAAAGGTAAGATGTTCTTGTTATTAAGTGAATTGTCCCTTAGCATTGCTGTTAACATGACATCAACCCTAACCCCACAGCAAACAGAAACCGAACCGAACCGAACCGTGGCTCCAAAACCGTGAACCGAACCGAACCGTGCCTTTTGTGTATCGTTACACCCCTAATATATATATAGATACATACAACTCTAGTGAACCAATACGGTCACCCAGGGTCCTAGGCGGACCCAATTGTCAGGGGGGACTTGATTCCGCCCCTGTTGCAGCAGCTACCCGCTGATGAAAAATACACACATAAGCCCCGTTTACACTAATACGTCTTAGTTTTAAAATGGCATTTTAGAACGAAAACGATCCACATCCACACTGGCGTTTCACCTAGCATTTTTGAAAAGCCCTCCTTTCACACTATACCTCTGAAAACGCACATTACGTGAAAAAAGTACCTTCTGTACAATATGAATGTGAGTAGTATGAATGAAGCTTGGTCGTACACATACTACATCCGCCATTTTAACATGACTACGTACTACATCCGCTTTATTTCCAGTCATGAATTTTGTCATTGTGCATTATGGGATACCATATCGTCCATTGGATGGGCAGTTCAGAATCCTGCTGGAAGTAGTAGATCATCTGGGTATTTCTTGCGTACTGTTTTTCAATTTCAGTGAATTCGGACATATTACTCAGCTCGCGTACTGTATTTATCGTACTATATAATATAGAAGTATGCAATTTCGTACGCAGCCATTGTGTTCAAAGCAGAAAAAAGTTCTTGTTTTTTAATCAGACATTTAAAAAGAATATATTTTAGAGCAGTAATGACAATAACGTAAAACCAATATATTTTGATCCAAGGTTATCACACTGTCAGAATCTTCTACTGGTCCATGTCTCATCACAAGTTGTCACTGAATGAATGTGCAAATATAAAACCAACTTCACCTCAATCATCTTTAAGATGTCATTCAATTTTCAATTGAATAACAACTTGAACTCTTGTGGTCCTCGTTGTAAGAATGGATTTTCTATAATTCTATCAAAACGTTCTCTGGGTCATTTGGTTTTGAGCCACGGTGTTTCGGTGTGTTCCAGTAATAAATGTGTTATGTAAGAACAGAGGATTTTTGAGTAATGACCTGTTGTCTTGATAAGAGAGTACCTCTTGCTGATCGTTTCAGCATGTTTGTTAGTTTTTGCTCTTATGCAACAGGTTGAAATCCACTGTCATTACTGGTCTGCTTTCTTCCAGTGTATAAACATTCATCTTAAAGGCCAAGTACACACTAAAAGAATTCCCACTCTGAGTGATAATTAAGAAAGCTTGCATTATTCTTACTTCGAAACTGTCAATAGGAAATGAAATCAAGTATTTAAGCCTTGAAATGTTTCCCAGTCTAAAACAAACAAATACACTTCAATGATTTTTATTGTAAAGATGACCATTATGCCAGGTGTTTAATGGATGTGGTGAAAAGATAAATGTTTCTGGGAATATTCTCTCACTTATAGGTCATCCAAGATGTAGATAAACAAATATTTCCTTCAGTAGAAGAAGTTTTTTAGCTGAAAATCTAATCCTTGACTGTTTGCATAATGTAAGTCAATGACTACCAGCACTTTGAGAGTCAAAAAACATGTAGCAGCAAAACAAAATAAATACCTGTGGCTCTTGGTGATACATTGAGGTCTCA